TATATATATATATATATAATAATAATAATAATATATATATATATATATATATATATATATATATATATATATATATATATATATATATATATGCCTTATGCAAAAATATTTCTGCCAAAAGGTGTTTTTGAACTGTTTGTCTTGAATATTAGCAATCATTATTTGTGATGTGTGATTGGTGTCTAAAAAACAGTACTACAGAATTTACTTCCTGATTGAATAGCTGCAACTTTTATTAAACAGGAGGAGGAAAATCAGTGAGATTTCAGGATAGCCATGTGAACACTTGTGGTCCAAATCTTTGTGCAAGAAGACATTTGCATAAGTATTCTAAAACTGGCTTTCTCTGTACATTCTTGCAAACAACAATTCACTTATAGATGTGTATGTGGAAAACATAAGTAGGGTTGTGAATACCACTGAAGTGAATGATTTAATTTGTATTGAAATATATGTTCACTAATACTTTTTTGAAGTATTTGTCCAGCTCAGCTTTCAATTAAGTCATGTTACCAAGCTATAATTTAGAGCAGAATATAGCCTTGAGTCAAGATTTCTGGATTTGGGCCAGTGTCTTTTTTAACTTCATAGAAAAATATATTCAGTGGTAAAATATAAATTAATTTTCATACATGACTTGAAACTAAAAATAAAAAGGCAATATGTTTGGCCCTGATTCAGCAAGATACTTCAGTACATTTTGTAATTTTGAGCACATGCAGTGCCAATGAAGTCAATAAAGCTACTCATTTGTACAGAATTAAGTACTTTATTGAATTGGGGCCTAAAAAGCTTTTGAGGGGGAAAACAATGTTGATAATATATAAAATTGTATACATTTTGTATTATATCTTTACATTGTATTTGCTGTAGAAGAGATGGCCAAACTAAAAAGTGACAAAGAAACACAACTTGAAGATCTGACAGAAGCCTTGGTAAATATAAATTGTCCTACATGTTAATAGTCTAAAGCAGTGGTTCTTAACCTTTACTGCAGCCTGCACCCCTTTGATTCTCAAAAATATATTCTCGCACCCTTTATCAAAAATTATTGAAGTAGGTCAGTTCTTTAAACCTAGATATATCGTAACTATAGAATGAAAGAGAGAGAATTATATATTTATTTTAATTTCACAGTTAAAATTTAACACAGTAATCATTACAAATGTATAATGTTAATAAATACATAGGTTTGATGAAACAAAGTAGTTGTACTTACATGCCTATGCTTAATTTGTGTTTTCGATGATTTACCTTCTAAAAAAATCTGGCATGTCTCTCACCCCCAGAAAGGGCATCTCACACCCCCAGGGGGTGCGTGCACCCCAGGTTAAGAACTTCTGTTCTTTTTGCGGATACAGACTAACACGGCTGCTACTCTGAAACTGGTCTAAAGACATTTATTTTTTGTTTGGGGTCCAGCGTCCCTTCTAGAGGCTTCCTAGAGACCCATATCAACCATCTCCAATCTATTCAAAAGCTGCCACTAAACTTAACTTTCTAACCGATCATTTAGACTATTTCACTCATCTCTTTTGAAGTCCCTGAATACTACTTCTGGTTCCCCTTTGCCCGGGCCTTCCACAACTCCACCATAGCCTACGTCTTGGACTTCGTCTCTTATGTTTGCTTCCTGTGTATGGCTATGAAATGATAGCCTTGATGCCCTGTTCATTTTCTTCTTCACTTCTATCCTTTCGCATGCCATCTCTTATGGATGGGATGACCTAGTCTTGGTATGCCAAGCATTCACCCTGTTTTCATTCAGATACCTTTCTAAATACTCATTTCTTCCATGAAGTTTGCAAACTCCTACCCCTGTTGAACTCCTCTGACATTACATTTGAGGCTGAAGTGTGAAATGAATTCCAATAATAATTTTTAAAAATTATTTAATGCCACCTTCTGGGATCTCCACTGTGGTCGTTTTTTTCTGTAACTTTTAGTTTGTAAAACTAGAATGTAAGTTCTTTTAGAGCGACTGTCCAAATAAATTATGCCCAAATAAATTTGTTAGCCTCTAAGGTGCCACAAGGACTCCTCGGTTTTTTTGCTGATACAGACTAACACAGCTACCACTGAAACCTGTCTATTTTGGTGTTCAGTATGGATTGTTAAACTTCTAACTTCACACAAAAAGTGCTATAGAATTTTGAGAATATTATGTTTAACAAAGAGCACGTCTACTTTTTGAGCTGAAAGGTATACATTTCAACACAAGACATACTTGTGCTTTTTCTGATCAAACTAATGTGCTACAAATAGAGTGCAGCTGCAGTGGCATGAGCAGTAGGTGGGGCTAGCCACTCCAACTACTTACCTGTCCAAGAGGCCAGGTATATGTTCAAGGCAACTAGCTGCTTGCATTGCCACGGCTACCCTCTTATTTTTAGCATGCTAGTGCGATTGGAGCTAATGTGTGTGTGTGTCTCCTCAAGCTGGAATTTACACCTTCCAGCTTGAAGCATAGACAGTCTTTCATCAAAGTACTCACGCTAGGGTATCCTATATATTTTTCACATTTTTACAGACATGGTGTGGGATTGCAGGAAGTGTGTGAGCCTTTTGTGGGTGCTTACAGACACTTTTGAATTTCCCATTGGAAATACTTCAGTGGAATTACATTTTCTCCCTACGAGGCACTATTTTTTCCTGTATGTCAGGCATAACAAGGAATTGCAGTTCTACCAACCTTTTCCCCAGTGAATCATTATGGAAGGGAATGACATGTAGTAGAAATTTCCCTTTAGGGAAGTACCTTCAGGAACTGGTGCTGATCCTCTAACAGAGTGTGGCTGCTCTGCAGCACTCCTTGCCTGGGGTAGCTCTGTAGTACTCTGCCTCTGTTTCCCTCTTCTTCAGAGCCTCTTTAATGAACTCCACATACACAAGTTGGTACTGGAGATGTGGCTTGGTCCTCTGGTCAAGTCACAAACAACACCTTCTGGGGTAGCAAAAGTCCTATTAAAAAGTCCATACAAACAAAATGTTTTTTTTCTGCCCTTTGTGGGCTTCTCTTCAGCTTATTTTCTGAACCCTCTTTTCTGCTGCTTTCTGGGCTACTTTTGAGTCTCTCTGGTACAGAACACTGTCTCCCAGGCTGGTTCCCCGGGAGTACCTGGCCTCCTGCCTTGCCTGCCAGCCCTCAGCTCTTTTGTGAGGCCCATGTGTCAGGCTGGGAAGGAGCTAATTAATTAGGGCATTGGTGGAGCTGGTCACATCCCCTCTTACAAGGGAGCCAGTCATCTGTGACACTGCCAGTATGAATTCCTTAAATCCAGTAGATTCTTATACTAGTGCCAATCACGGTATTATCTGAGTACTCTTAATTTTTATTAGATTCGCATAGTATGGTTCATAGTGGATTTCATGGTCCTCTTTCCATTCCGTCATCTGTGGGGTTTACCCAGGCATGGGCTGGGAGGCACTTCCAGCATTGACATTGAGTGAGGGCGGGATGGGGGAGAGGGAGTAGTATGTATTCTTTGTTGTGTAAAAATATGACTGAAAATAACCCATATACTTAATAAATCTTCTCAGCTTACTGGTACATTTTAAAAGATACATTTTAAAACATTTTCCTTTACTATTTAGGAGAGGTCAATAAAACTTCAAAAAGATTTGGAGCAGCAGCTAGTGTGTGAACAATCAGAAAAAATGATATTAATAAAAGAGAGAGAAATTAGGGACTCTGACCACTCAGAGTTTAAGGTTAGACCATGTGGATTTTCTTGTTAATTGTACTTAAAATTTCATTTTATTTATGTTACCTCTTGAATTAACTATTTCAAAAGTTATAGCTAATTTTTGTCAATTTTTCCCCCCCAAGGGAAGTTGCTTTTCTTTGAGAATCGCCTGTACATAAGATTCTCATTTATAGTGATGCGCATGCCCAGCTCACAGAGGTTGGCAAACTGTAGATAGCGGTGCCTGTTGGGGCACTACAAGTGCCCCTTTATAGACAAAACCTTCAGGGGTCTGAAGCTATAAAAAGGATTCAGGGCCCCAGTTGCCACAATTCCTTCACTGGAATTGTATCCCACATCATTCGATCAGGTGGGGAGGGTTCTTCCCCTTAGACAGACTGAGGGGCCAACTAGGGTGACCAGACTTCCCAATATTATTAGGACCGTCCTGATATTAGGGGCTTTGTCTTATATATGCTACTATACACACAGCCCAAGCCCTTGCAAAGTGTCCTGATTTTTCACACTTGCTATCTGGTCACCCTAGGGACAACTACAGGCCCTATGAATCCTAGATTCGGCCAGCACTGACTCCTTGTTACAGATCTGGTTAAGCTTACCCTGCTAGGCACTCGACAGATTGCAGTGAGGGGATGCAAAAACTGACTCCCACATGCCTTTAGTTTTCTGGGGTAGGGTGGTGGTTAGCATTGTCCCTGGCTTTGGGCATTTAGGCATACACTCCAAGTGCAGATTTTGTGTCTGACAACTCCTGGCAGTGGGGATGCTATGGTCCAAATGCATATCTCCTGAAACGAGTGCCATCTCCTGCAAGCCTCCCCAGCAGCTCTTGCTTGTTCCCTAGAATCCTATTGAATGTGTTAGCCTTGTGTTTAACCCTTTAGGGACATATGATAGTGAAAGCCATCAGTCAGATTGTGCACAGGATTCTAAAACACTTACTCTTTACTTAACAGCATGGGAGAGAGGCAGATTTATACGAAATAATAAATGCACATATTTGCGTTTTCCTTGCCTCAATTTTGTTACCACTTTGAAGAGTTTTTTTGGGCATGGGCAGAGTCCTCTGCGGTGTCTGGGATCCTTCTGTCACTACACAGCCTTTCTAGGTCAGCTAACTTTCTCTGATCTTGGCTGGTCCCACAGTTAAACTGGACCATCCCAGCTCCTCCCCACGCCTCCTCCCAGGTGTCATCCTCACTGCTGTCAAAGTTTCCTGTTTGTCTCAGTGAGCCTGTCACTCATGTTATACGGCCCACCAATAATACCTGGTTCCTTTGCTACTGGGGATTTTCCACTCCCCCTCTCTGGAGAGGAGATGGAGGGACTAGCTTCTCCCAGCCTGTGCCAACCTATTGGCCCAAGGTGTTTCCACCTTAATAGGCAACAGTTTAAGGTTTAATGATTGACTGTTGCTCTTGGTCTGGCAGAAAATGGTGGATTCCACATCCACGTTCCATGATACAACAGTTTCATAAGAACAACTTCATAATAACAACTAGAATTAATAAATTGTACATAGACAGATTCCCCAAATCATTAATGTAGTCTAACTTGGTTGCAATGTATATGTATTTATTACACGATGTTACTTATGGTCCTACATTTGATTGTGTAATTAGAAATTATATTAAAAAATATGTTCACGTATACTAGGGTTGAATTTAGCCAATTAAGCGTATTCTTCATATGTCCAAGCCCTAATTTTGTAAATTTTGAGCTCAATGTTCTTAAACAGGAACAAGTTCAAGAACTTTTATCTGCAAAGAAACATCTTGAGAGCACTATTGAAAAATTACAAGAGAGAGAAAAAGAGATGAAGGATATTCTTCAAATCAGAGAGGTCTGTAGAAAGGGTGACTTTTTTTCTCAGAAATATCTTATTGATATAATGCGCTTGAATATCCTGATTAGTGACTTACAGAAATTATTGTGCATGCAATGAAATTAATAGACAGCAGGTTTAAAATAAATACAAGGACGTACTTCTTCACACAATGCACAGTCAACCTGTGGAACTCGTTGCTAGGGGATTTTGTGAAGGTTAAAAGTATAATCAGGTTCAAAAAAGAATTAGATAAGTTCATGGAGGATAGGCCCATCAATGGGTATCAGCCAAGATGGTCAGAGATGCAATGCCATGTTCCAGGTGTTGCTAAACCTCTCTCTGACTGCTAGAAGCTGGGACTGGACGACAGGGAATGGATTACTCCATAATTATCCTGCTTTGTTAATTCTTTCTGAAAGCATCTGGTACTGGCCAGTGTCGGAACACAGGATACTGGGCTAGATAGACCATTGGTCTGACCCAGTATTACCATTTTAATGTTCTTATGAGTTTTTACATTACATATATTACATTTAAAAATCCAGGAAAAGAAATGTCCTGTCAGGAACCAAGGAGGCTCTCCTCTGCAAGTGCCCTGGCAACCTGGCACACTTCTGATTCCAGCAGGGAGAAGAGTTGGAAGAAAGTTGACACTGGCATCAGGAGTCCTAGAACTGATGGGTACTCCAGTACTGCAAAAGAACGGTTATTCACGTTCTCGTAACTGTTCTTCAAGATGTGTTGTTCGTGTCCAGGGTCTTAATTAGCGGTAAGACAATATGGGAATGGCCCAAAGGGGGCAGGATGTCTACCATAGAGTCTGCATCATCCCTAACTACTTCTGCCTTAATGCTCAGACCCTGTGCGACCCGGCGGAGCAACTGCTGCAACATCCTGGAGTCTTCCAGGGCTGAGGCAATGGTAGAGCCTGCAAGCGCCTCATCTGGGGAAGATGAGGAGGCGGCCACTAAGGGAGGTGGTTGTTCCCTTCCATCCCCGCCGGAGGAATCACATGAGCCAGTGGGGACAGTGATGGGCTGGTCTGGTCTTGGTGTTGAGAAGCGCATCAGCGTCGACATCGCCCCCCAGGTCGGTGCCAGAGGCACGGTTAGGTAGTGTGTCTGCGCCATGGTGGTCATTGACATTGGTGCAGGCAGTGTTGATGGCAGTGTCGGTGCCTTAGCAGGGGCCGGTGCCACAGTCAGTGCCAAGGGTGCTGTTGGTGTCGTGACCTGAGCCCCTGGAACCGAGTGCACTGCCGAAGGGGCTGCTGCTGTTGGTGCCGACGTCGGCAATGTTGACTCAGGTGCCAGCATCGACACCCGGAAGTAGCTGCTCAGCCGTGGTGGGACAAACGTAGCAGACACAACTGAAGTGGCACCCGAGCAAGGGCCTTGTCTCCAATCCTGGGCTTGATGGAAAGCCCATGGAGTCCAGAAGGGCAACTGAGCTGGGTTCTGCCATTGAGGGGCCCACTGCCTCAGTCGGGACCTCCTATGGTGCCTGGAGGGATGACCTTCTGCTCCCACTATAGTCGGAGCGGTACGAGTCCGACTCAGAAGCCTCGGAATATGAGGACCAAGGTGGCGCCGCACCTCTTGATGTGGAGCGTTGGGAGTCTGGGGACTTTGCTCCCTGGATGGAGGTGCTGGCATCTGTGGTTGGCGACGGGGAACAGCGTGTTGTTATAGCCGGCTTTTCCTTAGACTGCACAGTATGGGATGGAGCCTGCGATGCCAACGTCTTCTCCTGTGTGGGCAGCGAGAACAGTGCAGTGAGTCTGAGCAGGTCCTGCACTGCCCCAAATGCTTCAGGACTTGACGGAAGCGGCAGGCTCTCTGAGGGGTTCGGCAAACATGATTGGTCCAGACTCGACTGCCTCGCCTCAGCAGGTGTCGACATGGCCACCCCTTGCGTCTCAAAGCCGGGGCCCGATTGTGGTGCTACTGATGGCTGGTCTCTGGGTTTAGGTATTGGGGATCGACCCCTTTCAACCCTCTCCTTTTTCTGCACTGGTGACTGGGACCCGTGCCGAAGGCTGGAGTGTCCTCAAGACGCTCCATGATGGTGCTGAGGCTCCTTGGGCACGTCTTTCTTTGGTGCCTGGTCCCTTGAAGAGGGCGCCGGCACGCTCCACACTGAAGACAACGTTCGGGTGGTAGGGTCCCCGGAGTGGGGTCCGACTGTGGTTGAAGAGCTGCCTCCATGAGGAGGATTTTAAGCTGCTGCTCGCTCTCTCTCAGGGTTCTTGGTTGGAATTCCCGATAGATTGTACAGCGGTCTTTTTGGTGACCGCCGCCCAGACATTGTAGACAAAGATGTGTGGGGGGTCACTCTTTGGCATGCATTTCACTCAGTCCTTGCAGGTCTTGAAACCCAGGGATCACGGCATGCCCCAGGTGGCAAGGAAAGTGGGAAGCAGGAGGGAGAACCCCCGTAACGGAACTTATGACTAATTAACTAGGTAACAAACTAAACTAACTGACTAAACAAGAAGAATACAACGAGAGTGGAGCTGCTAAGCTACTTGCTGGAGCAAGAGCCAGGGAAGTTCCAGCTACCGTCACTGGCAGTCTGAAGGAACTAAGGGAGTGGCGGGTCAGCAGAGCTCTACATTGGGCGCCATGAAGGCGCAACTCCAGGGGGCGCCCAGGCCAACCCTACGGCGGCTGCTAAGGGAAAAATCTTCCAGCTACTGTGCACGTGCGCGCGCACACCTGATTGGAATTGACATAAACATTCTCTCGAATAGGAGAACATCAGCACTGACACTGGAAGAGAGAAGCCCAGGACACTTTGAATCCAGCACAGAGCGCTTGAAGCTGCATTTGCAGCAGTGAAAATCATGGGTTCCCTGGAAGGAGGTCTCTAAGTCCAAAGACATATTACTGAGGCATTCCAGTTCCAGAGACAGTGGCAGGGCACCAATATCAAAGAAAGCCAGAGAGACTTTGGCACTGAGATACCTTCAAGCCCCGACCATGACACTGACTAAGAAATCACTTCAGGCACCAAGGTTTGAGGGTTTCACTTTCACTGTGTCTCCCACATCGACTCAAGCACCAATATTGGTACCAGTACTGACCCTGGTACTTGTACCAGCACCATCCTTGCTGGACCCACACCTGATGGCACCACCATTCCTGAAGAAGATTTTCTCCTTTTTTTCTCCTGACTACAACAGCAAGTCCTCCTCAGAGAAACTGGAATGATACCCTAGGAGATAACCAAAGGACAATCAGTACCTGGCCCTCTGCAAGATGGTAGTGAATGGACCACCCACAACCTAGACAGTATCAATATGAGATGCCACCATGGCTGTATTGCCCATGGGGCCTGCCGTCCTATCAGCCCTGGAGTCACTCCCCGTGGTAAAAGTCTCCACGAGGAGGAGAAGGAGATCTTGCTATCTGTTGTCACTTCCCCACTGGAATTGGAAGAGCAGGAAGGAGAGCCAATAGGGCAGGCTAGGGAGACGCTCCAGTTTCCCTCAATGCCCAGGGAATTCTCTTCCTCACCTGATGAGGCTATCGATCTGGCCCTGGTGCCAACAGTGGATGACTTTTGGGTATTCCAGGAACTTTTGTCTGAAGTTGCAGATACCTGGGCTGTCAAAACAAACATAATCCAAAAGAATATCCATAAACTATTTGACATTTGAGTTACATACTGTCCACAATAATTGCCTTACCTATTAATGACAGTTTGTACTCTGCAAGCACCTTGGAATACCTGAGCCTCACTCCTTCTGACTTCAGGTTGAAAAGTGGTATTAAGTACCACTGAAGAGGCTCAATCAGTTCTGTGCACACACTATCCCAAGGTCACTCTTACTGGTGTTTACAAGAGAAAATAAGGCCTGCCAAAGGACAAGAATCCAAAGAAACTTTTCAGTTGGAAGGCATACTCTTTGGCCTTCTTGCAGTTCCTCATGGCAAATTAATAGGTGTTATTCATGAAATACAGCTTCTTGGTGTGGGAAAGTGTGACCCCCCATTCTTTTCCAAGTTACTGCAGGACTACAGTGTTGAACTGAAGGATGAAGTGAGAGAAGGGCAGATGATAGGCAAAGTGGCATTACAGGCAACCATGGATGAGTTGGACACGGCCACCCAGTCCACAGCCATGGCTATCACAATGCTGAGAGTCTTGGGTGCAGGCGTTGGGCATCCCCAAAGAGGTCCAAGCAACCATTGAAGATCTGTCACGTGAGGGGATGGTCCTATTCAGTTCCAGGACAGATTACATAGACTATGGTTGCTAGACATCAGGGCCCTGGACTGGAACCTGGAGTAGTGGGCTGACCCATGTTCCCCTACCAGCTACTGGGGAGGTAGCTCTACTGCCCAGAGTGTGCTGAAGACTGATTCAGACAGTTAGTCCAGAAGGACTTTGATACCCTGAAAGAGGAAAACTATAACTAGAGGGCCAAGTCATAAAGAGTCATGAAGAAGGAGCAATTGAGTCCAGCGAGAGAGAGAGAGAGACCATGGGGCAAACAACTGAAGGAGGTGGTGTCAGACTGGTTGAGAGCTAATCCCTAGATAAGCCACAAGGAGGTGCCCAGCAGTGAGTAGCAGACTCCATGACAGGACTTCAATATATTATTAACAGGATTGATGGGGGGCCTCCCCTTCTTCCCTTTGCAACCTGTTTCCTATACCACCTATCAGTGAATATTGCCTTTTTAGTAGCCATTACGTCACATCAAAAGGTAGGGGAGATTCAGGCCTTCAGGTCATGTCCCCGTCTACAGTATTTCATAAGGACATGGGTACTCTCCGGTCTTGTCCCAAGTTCCTGCCTAGAGTTGACTCAGAATTCCAGAGGAACCAATTTATCTGACTTTCATTTTTCTTCCACAAGTCTCACTCAACACAGATGAAGTTAAACTTTGCAGACTTGATGCAGTAACAGCACTGTCTTTTTACATTGACAGAATCGTTCAGAGAAACACAGATTATTTGTGGCCTTTGCTGATAGTGTAAAGGAGCAATTTATGTTCTCCCAGATTGTCTAAAGTGGGTCTCCAGCTGTATAGGGACATGTTATGATTCAATCAGGTTAAATGCACCTAGTCTCATTAGAACTACAGCTCAGGCAGCCTCTGCTATCCCAGTCAGGCAGCCTAATACAGGCCAGCTGTGCTTGTTAGGTTGACCAAAGACTGGCTCCGCTGCAGACCCTGATTCCTGACAGTGCCCCTGCCTCAAAGGCACTTACTTGGGCCTGTTTTTTTCTGGGTACTTCCGAAGAAACTCTCATAATAAGTCTGGGGTTTGGATGTTCTCTGCCAGTTACCAAGACTGCTTGTCCAGCCTGTAGCCTTTCCAGTCCATCAGGTACTGGAACCTTTCCCTAACTTGTTGAGAGTTGAGGATTCAATGGACAAAATACTCCTCTTGTCTGCAGACTGTTATGGGTGGCAGATTAGAGCAGTTTGGGTATGGGTTCCTGGTGTAAGGCTCTAAAAGTGAGATGTCAAGTGTGAATGTATCTTCAAGGACTTGGGCAGCTGTAACCTGAAGGTCACTGGGTTCATCTGTTCTATAATCTTGAAAGACTCAGATATTGGTAGTCTAGTTTGGTAGATCAGCTCAATTTAAGGTTCTGGGCAGAAAGCCCAATCTTCTCCCCCTACATCCATATTAGCAACAGCTTGACCATCTTGGTCTGGGGCTTCTTTAGGGGACTGCAGGTGTTCTCTGAGCTGCAAGTTAGGTGGGAGACCAAATCTGCAGCAGCTGCCGTACTGGGAAATTCACAAGTAAGTGTGAATGGAAGCAGGGGTGAAAGCCCTAACTTGCAAAGTATGGACTATTTTGCGTAGCACAGCAGGGGAAGCCATTAACATTGGTGGTAACTCAGGAAGCAGTGAAGATGCTACTCCAAGATTTGATTGACCCTTTCCATTTGCCCATTAGTCTGGGTGATAGGTAGACAAGGTGAGAGACTTGATGCCAAGGAGTCTGAGAAATTCCTGACAAAATCAGGAGCTGAACTGAGGACTCTGGTCTGATAAAATGCCCATTGGTGACCTGTGGTAGCAGAAGATGTTTTCCATGAAGAGCCAAGACATCTCAACCCGTTCTATACTGTTCCTACTGCATGAGGAGCTCTCTTCTTGTTAGGAGGTCAGTGACAACCGGGATTATTGGGTGTCCCTTGGGAGTGTGGAAATTTACAGTGAGGTCCATTGATATAGTAGACCAAGCCTGCGGAGGTGTGGGCAAAGGTGGGAGGAGACCTCAGGGTCTTGAACTTGGGTTTTTGGTATGGGTACAGAGGTCGCAGGACCTTATATAATTCTTGATGAAAGCTTATTGTCTTGGCTAGTAGAAGCTCCTTGAAACTGGATTTCAGGTCTTGAATTGGCTAAAATGCCCTGCAGGCAGCAAATTGTGGCATTGTTTCAATACCTGAAGCCTAACTTATCCCTCCAGAACAGAAATACAACTCTTGTGGTAGAGGAGGCCATTTTGTAGTCAGAACTCTGACTCAGGTTGGGTACCCACATTGTTCAGAGTCTGTCGGATCTGGGTTGTGAATGTGTCGTTGGAGGGCAGGGAGTAGATGGAGAAAGTCAGACTGCTGTCAGTCATCTTGTTGACAAAGCTGGACACCTTGAGCATGGTGGCAGAGAACTCATCGCCTGCTTCAAGATAGATGCCTTGTCCCACAAAGATAATATCTTCCCGTTTTTGTCACCAGGTGATAACTTACAACAGAGGCAAAGTGAGAAAAGAAGAGAGACCAGTGGATCTGGCAATGGTTAAAATGTCTAGCAATCCATAGGTATTCCAAGTTCTGGTGGTCTGTCAGGACTTTGAGCAGGAACTGGGCTGCTTCTAGAGGTGTCATCATTCCTTGAAAGCTGCCTTAATAACCAATAGCCCCTTATTCCAAATATCATATTTTTTTCCCCACCAGGGTTAACTTCTGAGAATAAAAGGTACAGGGGTGGAGTTGGTTGCAGGTGCCCATGTATTGAGATAGTATTGCACCTGTGGCAAAATTTGAGGCATCCGCCTCAATCGTAAATGGTTTAGTAGGATCTGCATGAATTGGTGCTGAGGTGAATGCCGATTTTAGTTGATCAAAAGCCAACTGAGCTGGTGTGGACGAGGTAAATCAGGTCACTGTTCCTAGGATCACCATTTTGGGTGCAACCAGTGTTAGAGAATCCTTTAATAAATTGCCTGAAGAGATTGGTGAACCCCAGGAATCATTGCATACATCCTTAGATATGGCCAAGTCGGATATTGCTGCCACCTTACGGGGGTCCAGGGTGAGTCTCTCGGGTGAGACAATAAATCCCAAGAATTCCATTGTATCCTTATCAAACTCACATTGCTCTTGATTTGCGTAGAGGTCTGGCAGAGTCTCTCCAAGACAATGCACATGTGATGATCATGGAGATCCTGACTTTCGGAGAAAATGAGGATGTCATCTAGAAAAATGACAACAAATTAGTCCGTCATGTCCCTGAAAATGTCATTAAAGAAATGCTGGAAGGTTGCTGGGAATGTTGCACAATGCAAAATAGCATGATCAGATGCTTGAAATGGCCAGCCCTGGTATGGAATGTAGTCTCCTACCCAGATCCTTACCAGGTTGTAAGCCTTGCAGAGGTCCAACTTTCCGAAAACCTTGCCAGAGCAGTCTTTCAAACAGCTCATTTATGAAAGGGGTACCAGTTTTCAGAGTGTGATCTTGTTCAGAGCATGTTAGTCCACACAGTCGGAAGATTCCTGACATTATCTAAGTAGGACTCCCAGTAGCCTCAACCAAGCAAATGTTTGAGAGTCACCAAGAGTAGAATCCATGTGGCCAGTCTCTCAAAGAAGAAAGAATGGTAACTTACCCTACAGTAACTGCGTTTCTTTGACATGTATTGTGTACATGGATTCTATGACCTGCCCTCCTTTCCCACTATTATGGAGTTCTGTTTCTCTGGGATTCTGTATTGGTGATGGAATGGAGGGATGGGTGGGAGTGCTCTGCCCTCCTCTTTGTAGCACATCCCTTGCATATACATCTTAATAACATATTATGTATTCCTCACTGAAGGCGCTATCCTGAATTCCTTGTAATCCCAAACTTCCATTGGATTTGTGAGGAGTGCATGTGCCCACCCATGCACCCAAACAAAACACTTATGGCCTGGTTACTCCGGCTGTGCGCTAGGGAGAGGATTGGCCTGGTGTGTATCTATGAAATGTTTTAATACAAACATTTAATATCTCATAGTAGTCCATATAATGCTATATAAATATAATCTGGCTAACAGATATCCATAGGTTTATTTATTATGAAGTTTTGGGTTGTCTGTTTCTTTGCAGCAGTATTCATAAACTATATATTATAAATGCATAAGCACTTGTGACATTTTTTTCTGCAGAAAGAAGTACATGATTTGGAAGTACAGTTAACTGGTGCCATGGAAAATGAGCAGAATTGTTTAAAACAGATTACAGCACTGAATGCAGAGCTTGAAAAAGAGATGTATGACTTTATTTTTAATTACATTACCTTTAAAGTTGTTGCTCCTTTTAATGTATATTTAAAATATGTGATTTATTTTCTAATGAAAAATGTAACATTTATTTTGTTACATACTAATTGCAAAAGGGTACAATGTATCTCTGACTTCACACTTGTCTCTGCTGTCTCTCCCTCTTATTGGTACCAGAGCACAAAGGGGGGAAGCGTTAGGTATGGAAAGGGATTGTCTTCAGGAAGAACCATAGAAAACTGCTTAAATTGTAACAAATGTCAATTTTGAAGTTTGTAAAAAATAAATCAAGGTGCAACTGTTGCTGATACCTCAATTTCCCCCCCCCCCATTCTGGTCCTCAGAGTATTTTTCAGTAATGTAAAAGCTGAATAGACTGCTACCCTCCTCTTCCCCTCCACAACAGTGTTACTATATTTATCTGTGCATTTTAAAATTAGATTAATACTAGTATTCGTATTTACAGCTGGAGACCCACTTTTAGACAATCTGAGAGATTATTAGTATTTATATTATGACTGAGGCCCCAATCAGGATCAGGGCTCCACAAGCTGTGCACTGTAGAAATATCTAGAAGAATCCATAGTTACAGGCAACAATTTTATAGTCTTATTTCGAATCATAGAAATGGAGGACTGGAAGGAACCTAGATGGGTCATCTAGTCCAGTCCACTGCACTGAGGCAGGACTAAGTATTTTCTAGACCATCCGTGACAGGTGTTTGTCTAACCTGTTCTTAAAAAAACACCATTGACTGAGATTCCACAACATCCCTACATAATTTGTTCCAATGCTTAAGTACCCTTACAATTAGGAAATTTTTCCTAATGTCTAACCTATCAAGCAACCATTTATTTAAATATTTTTTGATGTTTTCTACATTTTCAAATATATTGATTTCACTTGCAACACAATACAAAGTGTACAGTGCTCACTTAATATTTTTGATTACAAATATTTTTCAATTCACCTCATACAAGCACTGTGGTACAATCTCTTTATTATGAAAGTGCAACTTACAAATGTAAATTTTTTTTGTTACATAAATGCACTCAAAAACAAAACAATGTAAAACTTTAGATCCTACAAGTCCACTCAGTCCTACTTCTTGTTCAGTCAATCGCTAAGACAAACAAGTTTTACATTTACAGGAGATAATGCTGCCCACTTCTTATTTACAATGTTACCAGAAAGTGAGAATGGGCTTTCGCATGGCACTTTTGTAGCTGGCGTTGCAAGGTATTTACACGCCAGATATGCTAAGCATTTGTGTACCCCTTCATGCTTTGGCCACCATTCCAGAGGACATGCTGATGACGCTTGTTAAAAAAATAATGCATTAATTAAATTTGTGACAAGTCCTTGGGGGAGTATTGTATGTCTCCTGCTCTGTTTAACCTGCATTCTGCCATATATTTCATGTTATAACAGTCTGGGATGATGACTCAGCACATGTTCGTTTTAAGAAAACTTTCACTGCAGATATGACAAAATGCAAAGGAGGTACCAATGTGAAATTTCTAAAGATAGCTACAGCACTCGACCCAAGGTTTATGAGTCTGAAGTACCTCCCAAAATGAGAAGGACAAGGTGTGGAGCATGCTTTCAGAAGTCTTAGAAGAGCAAAGCTCCGATGCGGAAACTACAGAACCTGAACCACCAAAAAAGAAAATCAACCTTCTGCTGATGGCATCTGACTCCGATTATGAAAATGAACATGCATCGGTCTGCACTGCTTTGGATCATTATCGAGCAGAACCTATTATCAGCATGGATGCATGTTCTCTGGAATGGTGGTTGAAGCGTGATGGGACATATGAATCTTTAGCGTCTCTGGCACATAAATATCTTGCAATGCTGGCTACAACAGTGCCATGCGAACATTTGTTCTCACTTTCAGGTGATATTTTAAACAAGAAGCGGGCGGCATTATCTCCTGCAAATGTAAAGGAACTTGTTTGTCTGAGCAATTAGCTGAACAAGAAGTTGGGCAGAGTGGATGTGTGGGCTCTAAAGTTTTACATTGTTTTATTTTTGAATGCAGTTTTTTTGTACATAATTCTGCATTTGTTAAGTTCAACTCTCATGATACAGAGATTGCACTACAGTACTTGTATTAGGTGAATTGAAAGACTATTTCTTTTGTTTTTTTTTACAGTGCAAATACTTGTAATCAAAAATAAATGTAAAGTGAGTAGTGTACACTCTGTATTCTGTTGTAATTGAAATCAGCATATTTGAAAATTGTAGAAAACATCCAAAAATATTTAAATAAATGATTGCTTGATAGCTCTACTGCAGATACATCTCAGAATGATGTTCGCTTTTTAAGACAAGATGTATTAAGTGTATGTAACAAACTCGAGGGAGGAGGATAAAGATAACAGCAATAAAAACATATGGTTACATAGTCTAGCTGTGTACATAAGTTGGTAGTTCAAAGTCATTTTAAATGTATAGATTAGGTAGATATATCAGCGTGCTAAGCAGTTAGTAGAATCAGGCCTGAGCGTACAGAGATTTGCATTCTGTACAGTCACTGAAAAATAATTGTACTCAAAGGCAAATCTGCTACCTGTTAATCCAGTCAGCATGCAGGGATTTACATAACCAAAAACTAACTCTACAGAGGCGAGTCAACAATTTTTCAGTTAGCCTGTATTCAAGGAGCTTTGTCATGGTCTGATTTGAAAGGGAATTTGAGAATACAAATAAATTATTCCTCTTGTCTCCCAATTATTTTAATAGGCTGCAGAATGAGGAACTAAATATGAATTGCAATAAGCTTTTATTAGAAAAAGAACAAATAGCACAAAAGAAAAGTGATACTGTCACAGAGCTCAAGAAACTACAAGAAGTTCATAAGGCAAGTTGAGAAGTAAACTTATCTTCTTTTGGAAGACACTTCTTACTTAAAATAAAATGTGATAAAGCATATTGTATATTGAAATATGACACATGACCATTTTCATGATATTAATTAATTTTGAAACAACACAATTTTTGCATTTTAAAATACAAAGGGTGAAATTCACCCTAGGTAGAGGACCAGATGAAAGCATATGCACTTCTTTGTGCTGTCTGTCACTACACGGATTGAATTTCACTCAAAATAAATAATTGATTGCATGCATCTTTGTTTAGGATAACAGAAAGAAAGAAGAAAAGACTAAGAAGCTAATAGAAAATCTTGAAGAAACAAACGGCCAGCTAAGGGAAGAAAAAACAAATATATAAGTAGCATATTCTCAGAAAAAGTCTTGATTCCTTTACCATTAGATTTTGGTGTTATCCTTTTTTATGTATAAATGTATGTAGGCATTGGCTTCTATGACTTCAGATTAATATATTGGTTTTCAAGCTGTATGTTAATGAAATAGGTCTTACTCTCTCTGTGGTGATTTTTGGAGCACCCAGGACTGAGAGTCACCTTGTTACCTTCCTTCCTGAAGAGGAGGAGGTAACAAAGAAGAGTCTTGCCTGTGATGGCTGGGTGGCCTGTCAGCCATGCAAGCACCCGCCTGCAGGCTCTGCCAGGCCCTTTCAGGTGTGCATGAATTCCTTTGGAGCATTTCCCTGTGATATCCAGTCCCTGACTCTGGTTACTCACAGAAATTCCAGATCCTCTGCTCCCAAAGGAGTAGCATACCCCAGTTTACCAGTTTTACCTTAAACCCTCCTCCTGTATAAGATACAGCATTGTAATAAAACTAAATAAGGTCTACTTAAGAAAGGATAGCGATTCTACTAGAAATAAGAGTATTGGAAACAGATGGTTACAACTAAATCATAAAACACTAACCTAGGTCTACACTTGTTAATATTTACTTTTCCTATCTAATAAAGTAGGTCGTGTTCCCCCCCCCCCTCCCCAAGTTCAGTATGTTGCAGAGCTGGCTGGTTTCAAAGGAACATGGCTCCAATTTTTCGTGAGATCAAGCATCGTCCTCAAGATGTCTTCTCAGTGAAAGAATACCAAGTGCCTTTCCCCTTCTGTGTTATACTGAAACAGTCTTTGTCTTCATTCATAGACAGGGTGATTCTCTGTCTGTTGTAATGTTCCTTTTTTTTACCTCCAGGTGGTTTTGATTGTTTGTGATTGTGTCTGATGGTTTTCCATTGAAAGTCTTGGGATGAAGCAAGGCTAGATTATTGAGCCCTGCATTACATCACTGGCTAACCAGGACAGAATGACAACTCCAACCTCCTCAAATGAGCCATTGTGGAGACACATTATCCTCTGGTGATGAACTTCTGCTTCAAGTCCATAAAGCATACTGTCCATACAGTTCATTAAATATTACCCACACATTCATCTTGTAATGCTCGAGTCTTGATAAGTCATGAGCTTTCTATAGGTACCTTATGTGTTACTTTTGGGTAAATATCCTGCAAGATGTGTGGTCTAGTGAGCTTGTCAGGTTTGAGGTGAGAATTGTTTGCAAAGAACCGGGGACCCTTTGTTTGTGTCACATTCTCATTTACATTAAGACTACTCTGGCAGTACAGAGCCATGAAACTGCTATGACAATAATTTACACCCACTTTGTATTTGTTAGTTATGTTCTTTTTGTAATTGCTGCACAGTTTATACCAAGAACTATACTGCATCATTCATTTTCATCTAAGACAGAAGTTTGGATTTTCAGTTTTCTGAGGAAAAACCCTTTAATTGTAGAGGAAATTTAAAGAAAATAGCATATACAAAGTTATTAGTTAAATGTGGAAAAAATGATACATAACTATTATGGAGAAGAGGATTCCTATTAAATTTTACCATCTGAAATGTTGTATATTTTGACAAGTCTCATTGTTAATCTGCCTTCCATAATATGGATTTAGATATTATGGAGATAGATGCATTAAAATAATGTAAGTAGATAGATAAACTTATTGGATGCATAGGACTTTCTAGGTCTGTGAAAAATAAGTACAACTCTGAAGTGAAAGTCTGGGCCACTGCCCTGTATCTTTTAGGGACATCTTCAAAGATTTGGCATAAACCACCCTTAATATTAGCTATAAAGGAAGCTGCTTTTCTCGCCTTGAGCTAAGCTGTGATTTTTTTTTTTTAGCAGTGGTGAAAGAAATCTTCAGTTTTAAATTAATTATTTACTAATACTTATTAATTTGGCATTTAGAAATGACTTAGAGTCTCTGAAGGAGAAGATGAAAAAGAAAGATGAAGAGGCTAAAACTAAACTGGATGAAAGTGAAGAAAATGTATGGGATATATACAATGCTACATCTTATTATGAAAAGCTATAGCAGTAAATGTCTGAGCCAAAAAAGGTATCCTTAGGAAACAGATGTAGGAGAGTAGGAAATAATAGCTGTGTAGGAAGGGGCTCGCTGTGATGCTTTCCACGAGTACCCAGGGTTGTGAGGCTTCTATCTACCCCTTAGAGTGAGGAAGTCTTGACTGTGCCTGTTGGGGATCAGCTCCTTGACTGCACTGGCCTCTGACAATGCAAACACTATCTTCCAGGCCTCCTCAGGCCTTGCAATCTCTCTGCAGGTTAGTGATAGGAACACACCAACCCCCAAGTCCTCCGACTGTCCCTCTGGACTGTCCAGCCTCTGTTCCACATTCACAGAACTCAGCTGTGCTACTCAAAAAGGAATAATACACACCAACTTACAGTTTTAATTCAGGATCACCAGTCCACTTAATATACAGCACTTAGATATATTTATAGTGAAAACAAGAATAAGTTTATTATCAAACAACAGAGATTTAAATGATACAAAATCAGAATATTGGAAACAAATGGTTGCAGAGAAAACCAAATCATAACATGCATTCTAGAGCTTACACTTTGTTGTCAGATGTTCGGCTGCGTGCATGTGTTCTTTCTGCATGCTGCTCTGGCTTTGGCCAGATAGCCAATACAGCAGGCTCTGATCGAACTGACCAATAAACACAAGACTTGGTTTAGTAGCAAAGGCACCCAGCCAGGTTTATTGCCAACAAAGCACAGTGCTAATGCCCTTGCTCAATGGTTACAGGTACACTAACACATTTATGCCTGTGACAATGGACCAGCTCAGGCAGTGGTGGGACTTTCCACTGCCCCCTAGGCCAGACAAAGGGTTAAAGCAGGTATCCCAACATTTATAGACTAAGACAAACAACCTAGGGTAAACAACTTATCCATCACCTTACATGTTTCATGACATGTTTATTATCTCCCCTTGTACTTTTTCCTGATGTTTCAGACAAAATATCACTATTCATTACTTTTGTCAAACCATTTTATCATGTGCTGGGTTGGGGTGTTCTTGTACTGGCCTGCTGGAATGTGTTTACATATTCAGTGTGTTTTAGCAATGGTAGCAATACTGGTGCCAAGTTTGTGTACCGGACACTGACTTCCAGGCAAGCATCTGCTTTTGACAGGGCTTAACTGTTGCTCACAGCATAACTTTTTCTGATTTTGGTTGAGACCTCAGGCCTTGCAGTAGGCCTATGCTTCAGGCTCTCTCTTTCTACTACACCCTTAACTACAGGACATTCCTCTGTCTTCTATAGGATAACTTACCCAAAGTCCTTTCCCTAGCATTTTAAACCAGGACCTTTCATACAATCAAGCTTGCTGGCACCTTGTCTTCACAGATTGAAGGATGCCCAAATGTCTCTGCATCACCAGCTGTACCAGACTATCACTTTGATCTTCACCTCAAAACAGGGGTGTCCCCTAGCTGTTTACGTCTTACTGTTCATTTCATTCTGAAGTCTCCACAAGCCCTTTGTTAGCATTTGACTCAGTATATTAATAGACTTATATTGTAAGACCTGCAATACACAGTGATCCATCAGGGAAAAATGTCTCCCACTTCCTGTCTGTAGAAGTTTGTCTCAAGGCACTGTACCTTTGAATGACCTGCCTTTAACTACAAGGCCTAGAGAATGTAATTTTCATCATGCATAACACCTCCCATGTTTTCCATATGTATGTCTCTGAATGATTATAATGACCAATGTGACCCATGGTTGTCTGGGGATTAGATGAGATTTTAATACTAGTATGTCTGGTGTGGAGGATTTTTATTTTCTTATTATTGTTTTCTGGTGCATAGAGATATATCTTGGAGCATGCCAAACCGTCTCTTATGAAGTTTTACTGTGAAATTAAATTAGATAAAGACACCCAGAACAAGGGATGGTTGCTTGTTTGTTCTGTAAATATAAATAAGTAGCAGAAGAAAACTAGCTGCATATTTTGGGGCAATTTGTGGTAAAATTTATAATAATAATTTAGCCAGATTTTAAAATAATGTATTTCAGACTAGAAACATTGGAAGTGAAATTTCAAGAAAGGAAAAGCAACTGAAGATGCTAGAAAATAAGGTATGAGAGTATACTATTATACTATGAACTAGAGAGAACTTCAAAAATTCTTTACAGTTTTAAAGCATTAGCTGCAGTATTTCATACACAATTTGTGAACAGAAAAGAGGTGATTATGGTTCCCTACTACACATTTTTGCTCTGCTCTAATTACAGCTTTTGATGGGCTGTCCTACTACAGTTCTACTTGGCTAGCAGTAGACTATCAAAACCATTACAGATTTAGTGCTCTAAATCCTGATTCAGCAAAACACTTAAGCTTGTATTTATGTCCCACTGAAATCAGTGGGATTTATGCCTGTGATTATAGTTAAACACATGCTTAAATGTTGTACTAAATAGAGAGAGAGTTGAGCATGTGCTTAAGTGTTTTTACTGAGTTGTGGCCAAGAATAGTTCCAATGAGCATCAGTGAGGTTAATCACATTATTGAAGTTGAGTATGCTTAAATGCCTTACTGAATTGGGACCTATGCAAAGTCAAATGCAATTGTTCTTAAAATATCAATCAAATAAATTAACAAATTCTAAAAAATAAATTATTTTGCAATGATTCATTGTTTGAAATCTCTCTGTTTTTAGTTTAACAATTTAAAGAAACAGGTTGAAAATAAAACCAAATACAACGAAGAACTGCAGCAAGAGGTACGTAGACTTTTTAAAAGTTACAGGAACATGGAATACGTAGAAATCCAACTGCATGTGTGTAGAGCAATACTGTTCAGTTTCTGGTAGGATTTTAAATAGATGAGGAGTCTGCAAATGTCTATGAGATTACATAACTGGTTCTCTTTTCTATGATAGTCTTAATTCAAGTCAAATCTAAAGAAAGTTTTGTCTTTACAATGGTTCTTTTTAATTGTAAAACTTGGCCTACTTTAGTGAAAAGTAATTGTAGAAAGAGTATATGTATAATGAATTCTGATTATTTTGTATTTGATACACAGTGTCATCAGTATACTTTAAATAAACACTTGAGTTATGTCAGTTATCCATCAGTAAGAGAAGAAAAATCTGAGCTCAGATTGTCCTCTCTTGTTAAAATCCATTGGAGTAGACTTTTTGTGACGAAATCTCATTGAAGATTTTTTTCAGAGTTTCCCCCATCTCACCCTACAAGGGGGCAGAGTTGTCTCCTTGTAGAAAAACCATCCATAAACTTGGGCCATCTGCTTGGAGCCTCTGTATCACTGCATCAGGTCTGGCCCTCTGGAGATTCCTTTGTAGTGCAGCCTGGGGCTGTATTAATTTTTTCATGGAAGTTCCACAAGCAGGAGGCAGAGATGTTCTGCATCCTGCTTTTTCCTCCTTTCTTCCACCCATGTCACTCACATGAACCTTGAACCATGTGGAGAGTTTTCCACAGTGTCCACAAAGGATAAAAAAGAGTTATTGAAGTACTTGAGCTCTCCTTCCACAGGGAGGACTTTTCCATGCACAAATCTTAGGGGGCCTGATATGGGACGTGGATTGTAAAAAATTTTTTAAAAAGGGAGAGGGTACTGGGATTAATCTTTAGCCTCAATTCTGACTGTTGTGTGCTGGTGAGGTAGTTCACAGTATGCAGAAAACTGCTGTAAATGGGCAGCTGAAGTTTACCCTGCCTCAATTTGCCCTGTGTGTTTTACTAATTTTAGCTGCTGAAGCAGCAAAGCAATTCTCCAGTATGTTAATAAAATAATGTAAATGTTTAAATGTATCCCTTTAGTCTTTATTTTGGTTTTAACAGAATAAAGTGTTGAAAAAGAAAATTGCAGCAGCAAGCAAGCAATCCAGTATTTATGAAGGGAAGGTAGGTGTATACTAAATATTTCTTGTAAAAGTGAAAGACAAGTAGTTGAAGAGCATGAGTCTGTCCTTCAGTCCCACTGAAGTCAATAAGATTACTTATGTGTTTAAAAATTAAGCAAGTTTAATTGTTTTGCTGGATTGGGGCCAAAATGTTCAGCATCTTGTTGTATCAATCTATGATATATCGGAGACTGTCAGCTCCCCATTGAAATCATTAGGAATTGAAGTTTCTCAAAATATTACAGGAGATGCTCTGCACCTCACTGAATCAAACCTTTAATAAGAAATTTGTGAAATTGTATCCACTGTTTCTAGGACAAGATTTCAAGGGTAGTCAGACTTCTATTGCTGCAAGCACCCATGCACGTATTATCTTTTTGGATCAGTTAATACTTTGAATTAGAAGTTGGCCCGGCTTGCAATATT